ATTCTCTCCTTTTCATTTTTTGTGAAATTTTACAAAAATCCCTGTACTATAGTACAGGGACTTTTGTCCGATTTTGAAGCAACTTTAAAAAATCATAAAAAATCTAAACTTGATTGGAATCAGCTCAAACTTGCTACACAGCATAAGTACATGTATATGCATCAGGAAATGTAATAAAATTGAGGAATTTTCTACTTGTCAATTTTGGTGAAATTTCACAAAAATCCCTGTACTATAGTACAAGGACTTTTGTCCAATTTTGGAATAACTTTTAAAAATCATAGAAAATCCAACTGTGATCGAAATCGGCTCAAACTTGCTACACAGCATAAGTACATGTATATGCATCAGACAGTGTAACGGGTTCCATCCTGTCCAGTGTATTCCACTGACCTAGGATCAGGTGCTTCTAGTCTGTCTTCATCAGGTAATGATCCTCTGGTTAATGAGACACCAGTGACACTGTGACTCCAACACCACACCTACCAATTAATAATAATAATAATAATAGCAGTAATTAATGAATAGGTGTGGCTTACAGGTAGACGGTTCTTGAAATGTAGGCCAGCAGCATATTCTAGAGTATCATCACTGATGTTGTATGGGACCACAATGTATGGAGGGAGACTAAGAGGAGGAGGAGGGAATGGAATAAATGATATTATACTCTATTGATGGTGATTTAGGAACACATGGCCATTAATATGTCAAATTAAGACCAACAATTATTAGCAATATGTCAAAGTTACCAACATCATGTATCATTAATGAAGTGTATCATTATTAGTACAAACCTGTCACAGAGGAGGAAGTGTTGGTTAGCCTCAGTGACCCTCCACTGCTTCTGGTTCACTCCTAGTCTATCCAATTCCTTATAAGGAAAGTGTATAATTATTAATAAAATGACCTCATTACATTCTATTAACAACTGAAGGATATAAATCACTCACTCAGTAATTAATGGCAGAATGGAATGAAATAATAGACTCCAATCATAGTACAGTATTATTAATATTGTAAAAATAATTGTGTGACTTTTGTTGAATTATTTCTTACCTTCTGCCAGTCACGAGGATTGAAATAAGTTGGAATGACATCTGTTAATGAAAGAGAGAGAGAGAGGGAAATTAGTAGCCACAATTTACTAAGAGAATTAGTTCTAGTAATGGAGGGACATCTCCTCACCTTGAGAAGAAGAGGAAGATGAGGAGTGAGTGTCTTTAGTTTTATGAACTACTCGAGCGTAATCAAAAGCAAAGAGATGAAAGACACTACTGGGAGAGGAATACATCCCAAAGGAATTGACAACCTACAGATAATAGGCACACACTTCAGTTTAATATGTAAAGGTTATACACTGAGAGAAGTGACATATAAAGACATTGACAAGTATTTATTAAAAAGGAAGTGCATTAGTATATACACAATATAACTACATACAGTAACAGTAGTACAGACCAGTCTAGGTCAGTACAGTACCAGTACCAGTATAAGTACAGTACCAGTACAGTACTGGTATAGTAGTATAACTATACTTACATGAACTACATCAGACTTTGAGCAACTCTTGAAACTGAATACAACCTTTCGTAAGTCCTGAATAATGAGAATAAAGAAGTACATAAACCCATGACTCCTCCTCCTCCCTCTCTCTCCCCCTCCCTTACTTCACAGGCCTTCTCCTCTCTCTCTCTCTTTCTCTCCCTTCCTCTCTTACTTTACAGATTATTTCCAGTTCATTTATTTTCTTTGGCAGAGTTGACTTGGCAGTGACAAGCCTCTTCTTATTACTGCTGACTAGACACAATATAAACAAACAAACAAACAAATAAATAAATAAAATTACTTAATAAATTAATAATACTAATAATAGTAAACACAAATACACTACATAATGTAAGTGTGTACAATACATGTATGAAAAGTTGCTATTTGTAAAGTTTAAAGTATATTATAAAAATAACAAGTCAACAACAACAACAACACACAAGATGACTAAATACATTATACCATACACAACCCAACCTACTCTACATTGATACAGTATTAGTATACACTGGTACAGGTACATAATAATGACTGACTGACTGATGGGGTGGCTTACTAGTGTATGCTTGTAGTATCAGTCTCAATGGAATATAATGACTCTTGACTACTGAGGACCTGTCCAATGGAGAGAGCTAAGAGGAGGAGGAGGAGGGAGAAGGAAGGCAAAGAAAGATTGAGAGGTAATAAAATAAAGTAATGACACATTTAAAAGCTACTTGCTGTATATAAACATGAGTTCATACTTTATCAGTGTTGAAAGGAGCAGGTTTGAATGAGAGTCTGTGATTAGTAATGAAGAGTGTCCCATAGATATACCCAGGACTCTTATCAGGTCCCTCTGACTCATACAGTAACTGCTGGGTATCAGGGGCATGACCTACCAGTGCCTCTCCTGATAATAAAGAGTAGGGGTGGATAGATTAGGCAACATGTATATACATGTAAGGGAGAATAATCTTAATATGTGGGCAGTTGTTGAATACTCACCAGGCAGTAGATCAATGGATGAATCAGGTACTGATACTGTAGGGAGAGTAGCTGCTTTACTGGTCTTAGCCATTGACTGAGGGGGATGTGAGAGAGTGTAATTTCAGAGGTAATTTCAAAAGAGGAGCTAGAAAAGAGAAGACATTTTGGATTTTAATAGCAATGGAGGGGCGGGACAAACACACCTCCTTAATTGACCTACCACAATTAATTCATGCACTGAGATCAGTGATTGTGCAGTAAAAATTTAAAACTATTAAAAAAATATTGTCAATACTATTAATTAATAATACATAAAAATTTTACTAGAGTAGTTAAGCATCAATATTAATATTAAAATCAAATCCCAGTTCATTCCTAATAGCTTCAATCCAGTCTTCATGAAAGACCGTTGCTGCATCAGCATAAGGGCCTCCTACAGCAATGAACGAGCTTAAGAACTTTTGACAGTACTCCTCTACTTGAGGCAACTTCCTCTTAAAACTAAGAACAGCCTTGAACTCTGTAATGCACCCTTCCATTGAAGGATCTTCCCTAACTTTATTACTAATAAGCTTAGCTGTGTACAACTGATTGACAAGACCAGTAAGAGACTTCTTAGGTAAAGAATTGAGTGCAGCATAATGAGATACAAGAACATCATCGATCACTTTCTTTACTTTATTGACATCAACAGTAGCTGATGGACCTAACAGAGGTCAAAGGTCAGTATATACACACAGTATTATCACTTACTAGCTCCTCCAGTGGATGATACTGACGTTGATTCATGTACTACATTAGAGGAGGAGGAGGAGCGGGTAATAGGATCTGATTAATATTAAATTAATAAACAATTTAAACTGAATCATTTGTTTCTAATATAATTTATACCTGTTGTTCTCAATGTTCTATGAATAAATAATCTAACAGGATCAGCCACACCTTCCAGTGGTACAGAGTAATGTAGTGTAGGAAAAGCATTAGGTGAACCATACACTGATACCAGACAAGATGGAGGAAGAGGATACTCTTTTTCACCAAACTTATCAATGTCATGACGATACATCTATGTACAAACACATCAATTAATAATTAATATTAATATCTTCTACTTACCCTGCAAGGTTTAATATGTGCTTGTATAGTCCAACCAGTGAGCGAATATATCTGTGGAGCATCAAGAATGAACTCAATAAAATCACTTGAAGGATCAAAACTAAAGGGGACATGCTGTCCTATTTCTGTTTGAGGATGTCTTCGTTCAATATACTAAATGAAATCAATCAATACAACATTAATGATATACTTATACCTCAATAAGAGCATTCAGATCTTTAGCTGCAACTAATGTCACTAGATCCTCTACACCTTCCTGTTCATAGTGCATCATCATTTTATATATCATTCTATCTGATATGCCTATATGTATGATAAAAGCATTTATTATGACATGTGAACTAACCTGCAGATGCAGTACCTAAAATACACACCAAACAGGGCTCTTCATGTTGAAATTTAATGAATCCATAGCTACCATTAGAGCTAAACTCTCCTCCCTCAACTATTGAGAATTGGTAAGGAAGACTGAGTGTGCTCACGGGAGCTATAGCAAACTTTAAGTATTGTGCAAGATCTGGTTGTCTTGTTAAATCAATGCAGTGCTGTATCTCTAGTTGTAATGGCTTCAGTAGAGGCTTTGAGAGTGATACTGCATACACAGCACTGACTAGGATAGTATTAGGAGGAAACTGGAACTGTCCTCCTACAAGAGCAACAACTGCTGCATCTGCTGCTTTAAATGATAGTAAACTATCCCCTGATACTCCAATCCTTAGACCATACTTCTCCCAATTCATCAGTTGAGGTTTCTTTCCTTGAAATACTAAAAGTTTCTTTTCTGCTACCTGGACATCACTCAGGAAATCCAAATTATCTATCAATTGATCATTATACAGTACATCATATTACATATACTCTTGCATGCTCTTACCCATTAAAGGGATCATGTAATTAAATTGCACTTCCTTGGAACTAGTCTCTTTCATGGATTGTTCCTCTAAGGATGTGACTCTCTCCTGTAATTGCTCCCTCTCCTTCAACAGTTTGGCAATATATAATTCATTATCAGTAACTTTAGTTTTCAGTTCTAATATTCTCTCATATAATATACACATTGATGACAATACTCTAACCTTTAGTGATCTGTTTCTCTATGAGATATTGCTTCTCTAAGTGTCTCTTCTCTTCCTCTACTTGTTTTTTCTCTTCTTCTATTTCAGCTTCTTTATCAGCAACTGTAGCTTTTAGTTTCTCATAATCTAGATTATAGAATATATCCTTTCAAAATAAAACCTGCCATTTTGAGCCATTAATGCATGCTCAATGGCACATGGCCACTAATTCACAAAATTAAAAGTTGCCAATCACCAAAATATAGCAATTCATCAAATTTTAGTCTCTCCAAAATTTCCCGCTATACCGCTATACACTATACCTTTTTCAAAAGTAGCTTTATGACTGGAAATAACTTCTAATTCATCTTCTACATGAGTATACCTTAATAAATTTAAAAATTTAACAATTACAGTTACTTTCTAGCTGAAGTTTTCTAACAATCCACAATGTAACAGGATCAGCCACACCTTCCAGTGGTACAGAGTAATGTAGTTTAGGAACAGCATCAGGTGATCCATACACTGATACCAGACAAGATGGAGGAAAAGGATAAGTAGCTTCATCAAATCTGTCAATGTCATCTTGATACAACTATAAAAATAATAATAAGCTTTTTAAACGTAAATAATTTAATACTCACTCTACATGGTTCAACTAATGGTTGTACAGTCCATCCTTTACAAGAGTCATCAAACAATAGTTCAATAAAACCACTGGAGGGACTGAAGGAGAAATTATAAACTTGACCAATCTCAGCCAATGGATGATACTCCTCAATGTACTAGTAATGATGATACATTAATAACTTATATTATTTACTTTACTTGAAGTAGATGATTTAACTTCTTTGAGGCGGTAAATGTCATTAAATATTCCTTTCCTTTCCATTCATAATATATCAATCCAACATAGGACACTGTAAGGAAAAGAAATAAGGTCATCAATATGCATCATGAAATGAAACGCCAAAGCCTTGGCGTTTAATTGCAGATACAGAATTTCTTGTCAAAATCAACTCAAACTTTGTACATACACACATACATGTAGCATAAGAATCAACATCAATATGTATAATAAAAATTTGAGGCCATTTCTTGAAAAAACTATGGGCTATTTTTTGAAGAAACCATGGCCATTTTCTGCTTGGCCAGGCCTACACTAAAATCAAAAATTTTCTACATATTTTTAATTTACATGTAAGTATAACTACCTTGCGATGATGTCATAGGAGATTTTAACAATAAATCGATTGTTTTAGGTTCAGCCACACCTTCCAGTGGTACAGAATAATGTAGTATAGGAACAGCATCAGGTGATGCATGAAAAGATACAAGACAAGATGGAAGAAAATCTTTAGTAAAACTAAATCTGTCAAATTGATCTTTGAGGAACTATATAATAATGTGCAGCTGTCAAAATATAATCAAAGTGTATGAGTTCATACTTTAGTGGATTGAGGTTCAATAGTCCATCCAGTGATTGACTGATCTTGAGGAGCATCAAGTATCAATTCAATATAATCATGATTTGAATCAAAATCAAAATGAATCAGTTGATTGATTCTAGCTAATGGATACTGATCCTCTATGCACTGTATAGTAAAGTATACATCATTTATACATGTATGTGTAAATATTCATAACTTACAGTTACAGTAGTACTGATATCTTTCAGTCTTGCTGCAGTAAATATTATCAAATGTTGATCTTCCTTCTTCTCATGATACACCAGTCCAGTATAAGGGGCTATACATTAATACAATAGTCAGTTACACTGTACAATATGGCACATACCAACTGGTGGAGCAGTGCATTTCAATGTTCTATGAATAAATAATGTAACAGGATCAGCCACACCCACCAGTGGTACAGAGTAGTGTAGTGTAGGGACAGCATCAGGTGATCCTTCAAATGATATGAAACAATATGGAGGAATAGACCCATCAGTTCCATCAAATGAATCAATATCCTCTTGATATAACTAAAGGAACTGAATCAATTAATAAACTAATATATTAATAATCTTACCCTGCAAGGTTTAATTAACGGAATAATAGTCCAACCAGTTGATGGTTTCTCATTAAAATTCAATTCAATAAAACCATTGAACCATTTGAAATGAAAATAATGAATTGGACCAATGTCAGCAAAACGATGATGATCTTTGATGTACTATAAAAGTTTAGCACATTAAATTACACTATTATTATTATTATAATTATTATTATTATATTATTATTATTATACATAGTAATAATTATTATTATGTTGTTACCTCATGAAGAGCAGTCAACATTTTAACTGGTATAGCAGTGAAATATATAAAAGAATTCTTCTCATAAAACATCAAACAAGCATATCCTTCACCAGATCCACTGTCTTCTTGTGTATAATGCTGATCCATATATTCCTATAAGTATAAGGCAATTATTTGTAAAATAAGTACAAAATTATAAACAACTTCTTCTGCTTCCTCCTCACTCTGCTGCAATGACTCTTTCTCATTTTCTTCATTCTCTACAATAAACATTACACCATACATACATACAGTGTACATACATTACCTAATGACAACTGATGAGGTTCCAATGAATGTTTCTATTACAAATCTCATAATTAATGTATCAAATACCAAGAGTGGATAAGGAGGAGGGGAGAGTGTCTAACTGCCCTATACTGCTAGTGATATGTGCGCGTAGAAGTCTTTCACAGTTTGTTTAGCACCTTCTTTGACCTGTTTAAACATCAACAGCCATGATAGTAAATGGGTGTTTTTAATAACCTATATGGTGCACCCACCCACACGTGTAGTCACGATGTTTCAAGAGGAAGAGTCAGAACTACAGCACAATCCAGATGATCATGACTGTTACAACAGATTGAGAGCATCTAATCTTGATGAGTGTCATGCCACTACACCTAAGCGCCCTAAAGCATTAAGAAAGAGGACATGGAGCCAAGAGTCAGAAGCCTCTGCTCCAGTGAACTCAGATCTGTAATACTTCGTTTTTAAGATCAACAGCAGTTAACAGCCCGTCTCAAAAGTACATGTACCACATATTCTTTCACTTCTATTACTATCCTTACTCTTGATGTTGTGGGTCCCAAGGGACCAGACTAAAGGAGGATGATCATTGATCAAGAGCTTTTTCATGTGTCAATAACAAACATGGTTTGTGTGCTTGGAAACTACAAATCTCTTCAGAGTGGTACAAAGTGGCTGGTACAACAAGGTGAGGTCAAATTCTGCTTCCAAGGTCTCTGTATGGTCTCTTGCTGCTCAGTTCAGCAGCCATTTTTATATTACAGTTAACTTAGTACACGCCCAACTATGGCTTCAGTGCAGTTATCACTTATTGTGCTAAATAAGGTATGCGGGAATGTACAAATAATAACCATGAAACTTCTACGCGCACATATCACTAGCAGCATAGGGCAGTTAG